TTGCTTTCTGGTGGGCGTTTGTAATGTTGATGGTGTTCAACTGCTATGAAAGAAGCTGTTGTTAATGTGCCATTAGTTCCAAGCATTTGCCAATCTTTGATCTTGTTTGTCATTTGAATTTTGGCCTTTCTACTGTGGATAGGGGGGGGAACATGTAATTAGGAAAACTTTGGTATAGAATGTAGCTCACCTTTTTTAAGCTCTTACCTTAAAATATGTCTGACCAAGGTGTGCTTGGCGTGTGCAAAAGCCCTGTGAAGCCCTCCCATCACCAAATAAGAAAGAAAAAGAAAACAGAATATGTCAAGCGCTCTGCTAAGGTAGTGCTTTATGGTCAGCCTGTCCTTTTAATTCACTGAACTGGACTCAAATGTTGGAAACTTGAGTTTCAGAGTGTCTGGGTGAATTTTTCAAGGGTGCTACCATAAGTGGCAGAAAGAGCTGGAATTCAGCTGAGTCTCACCCCAAACTCTTGCTCTTCATTCCTGGGACATTTGCTTCTGGTCTGCAGTCCCCGGTGGCATTTCCTTTTACCTGGGGGAGATTTGCAAATCTCCTCCCCTCTCAGCAGCTGTGGCTGGTCCGGAAACGCCAGGGGTGGAGCCTGGAGGTATTGCTGGAGCTTGCTCAGGTTTAAGTCCCGAGGCCCTAAGCTGTAGCCTGCAGTTGAGGCAGGTGGCCTGGGATCCAGAGCCTGCTGTCACCTGGCAAGTCACTCTTTGAGGGCCTGAGTTTCTTTAAGCCCAATATAAGCGGGTGGGTCTCTTTCTGGCTACTTTGCGCTCATGAAATGCTGTGCTTCCACCAATAACCCAGACTCCAAAATGGTGTGATTGGAGTTTCCCAATTGGGTATATTACAGGTCACACTTTCATATTTTTTTGTAGATGAATTTTGCCGTTTTGCAAATTACTCAGGAACTGAAATGGTCCCCGCACTTTAAAAAAAGAAAGGCAGGATGGAGACAATAAATAGGACCCAATTGAAAAGCCCAGACAGGGTTGCCAGACCCTTCTTTTACTGCAGGAAGATGTCAGGACCACACGCAGTTGACTGGAGTCCATTTCTGTGTTTTGTTTTGGTGTTGTATATTTGCTTGGACCAGTTGGACGGTGTGACAGCAGCTCTGTAACAAAATAGTCCTGTTATATTTTCCCCTCCTTTGATTGGACTTCTTCTTCTTCTTTTTGCAGTGCTGGGGATGGAACCCAGGGCCTTGTGCATGCTAGGCAAGCGCTCTTACACGGAACCCCATCCCCAGCCCTTTTTCTATTTTATTTAGAGACAGGGTCTCCCTGAGTTGCTCAGGGCCTCCTAAGTTGCTGAGGCTGGCTTTGAACTCAGGATCCTCCTGCTTCAGCCTCCTCCAGAGCC